CAGCTCCACATGCTCTACACAGGATCACCAGGGGCCTCACTGGCCACACCAAATGCCCAGTTCTCGGTCCTCATTAATACTTCACCTCTGAGCGCCATGGGACGTGGCGCTCACTCCCTTCTCGGCTCCTTCCCCGAGCACCGCTCTCCTCCCACCTCGCTGGATGCCTCCTCTTTGCTGCTTCACCTCCTGCTCCTGTGCTGGGGCTGAGCTTGGGCCCCTCCCTACCCTACCCGTGGTGGTCTCATCCAGGCTTGTGGCTCTAATTACCTTCAAGCGTCGATTGTTATGCCCACATTTATTTCTCCAGCCTAGACCTCACCCTTTGACTCCAGAGTCATATATCCAAATAAGACATTCCCACTTGACTCTCTGCTAGGCACCTCGAACTAACGTATCCAGAAGTGAACTCCTGGTGTTCCCCATAGCTCCACCCCAGCCTGTTCACCCGTCTTTCCTATGTTGGTAAATGGCAACTCCATTCTCCTGGTTGCTCAGGCCAATAGCCTGAGCATCCTTGAAGTCATCCTTTCTTTCTCTCATACCCCACATATAATTCACCACCACATTATACTAGCAGTATCCTGGAAATATTCCCCGAATCCTACTGCTCTCCCACCTCTCCCGTGCCTGGTGCAGCCCACCTCCACCTCTCACTCCAACCTAACTGGTCTCCCTGCTCCTTCACTTGCCCACCATGGCCTGTCCTCATCCCAGCAGCCAGAGTGATCCTTCTAAAAAAGTAAGATTGGGTCACTCTTCTACTCAAAAGCCTCTCGTGGCTGCTCTCCTCTCGGTCTCTAGGGCCCTCCTGATTTCGCCCCGCTTCCTCCCTGACCTCATCTCTGACTCCTCCCATCCTCACTCACGCTGCTCCAGCTGCAGTCCTCCTGGATGTTCCTCAAGCTCCCCAAGCACACTTATGACTCAGGGCCTTTGCACCTGCTGTTCCCTGTCTGCAACACTTTCCTCATTGCTCGCTACTTTGCTTCTTTCAGGTCTTTGCTGAAATATCACCTTCCAGGTGAGGCTTTCCCTGCTTACTTAAAACTGTGATCTCACCACCTTTCCCCTCAGATGTCCTCATCACTATCAGACATATAGTGAGTGTCTCCTACCCTACTCCTGTGAACGTAAGCTCTGTTGGGGGGGAGGGGAGGTGTCTGTTTTGGTCACTGCTCCATTCTCATAGCTCGTGGCCTGGAATACTAGGAGCGCAATAAGTATTTGTGGACTGAAAGAAAAGACACGCCCATCAGCAGCTGCAGGCAGTGGAGTGCTGTGGTGGGGACATGCAAGTGGGCAGGGAAGTGACTGCCTGGTGGGGAGGGAGCTACACAGAAAGCCATTTATTATATTTATTCATAACTTTCATAACACCCATGAAAAGTGCCCACTAGGTACCTGACCCTGCATGATACATTTTGCACGTGTTTTCTATTTTATCCAATTCTCACAATGTCTTTTTAAGGTTGGTACTATTGTTATATTCATTTTACAGGTGAGGAAGCCGAGACTCAGAGAGGCTAAGTGACTTGCCTAAGATCACACTGGCCTGGCAGAACCAGGACTCAGCCCTGGTTTGATGTACTCAGAGCTGTCGATCTAAGAAACGTCAAGACCTGTAGAGAATTTTTATAAGTTGCCAAACTGACAACAATTGCTGAGAAGCAAGATCTCAGGGGATGGAGAAAATGCTCGGGAGAATGGCAGTTTGGCGGTTTATTTTATACATGAGACATAAGGAGAGTTAATGAAATCCATTGTGGTAGATTAAGGAGGAGGGAGACAGCAAAGGGGGCATCTCAGGGTTTGGATAAAAGGGCAAAATAGAGAGACACCTACTTCTTCTACGTTGGTGGGTACAGGACAGTTAATAAACATTCACAGCACAGAGAGATGGCATGTGGGGGACGAGATAGCCAAGGGTCCTATGGCCTCAGCCCAGGTTTGTGCCTTGAGGGGTCTGAAAAGGAGATTACTGTACATTTCAAAGGCGTTATCTTAGTTGCAAAGAGGCAATAGACCGACTCACTTAAGGTAAAGTTTGCTTTTAGTTAGGAATTTTATGTTCAGACCATTCTTTGTGGTTACTTTCAGTGTCTGAGTTTGTGAGGCCCCTGTGCAGGCAACCTGAGCTCATCAGGTTCAGTATATGGGCCCTTTTCCATCCACAAACCTTCAAACTCCTAATGACTACACAGAAATGTACTTAATCTGGATTTTAGTAGTAAAAAAATATTAGCATCACCACTTCCTAATTTCACATTAATTTATGCTAAAATAACCACAACACAGTACCTGAAGGTTTTTGCCTTCCCGGAGCCCCTTTGGGGCTTTTCTGGTGAGCAGCCTGGGTCCAGGCTCCACCTGTGACAGCCTGTGGGCAGTTACAAACAAATGGCCTGCTCCCAGGGCCCGGCTGAGCTGTTCTCTACTTGAATGACAAAGTCCAGGCATAGTTCCAGTGGCCAGCTCAGGCCTCTCAGGCCAGGCATAGAAAGGTGTCTGGGAGCCTCTCGTGTGGGCTGGGCTACGAGGTAGGGCTGCAGTGACGTTAGTGGAAACGGGCTGAGTTTGTGAGTGTTTGCCTGGTTTCCAACACTCTTTGGCAGCTCCCGTGCTGGCAGCCACGCCCGGCCCAGAACAATGGGGAGGAGTCACCCTCCCGGCTAGGGTGGGCCTGCCGCTGCCTTCCAGGGCCGCTCACCTGCCCACGCAGCTGGTGACAGACACCTCTCTGTGCCCCTGCTGAGCATGGGCCTCCGCCATGGCCAGGGAACTGCCAGAGGCCCAGGGAGGCAGCTTGAGTGCAGGGAAGGGTTGACTTCCAAACCTTCCCAGGCAGGCCTCAAGACCAGGCAGGGGGGCACACTGCTTATCCCTGAGCTCTGTTCCCCCCAAGCGTGGGCTCTCATCGCTTCCTGGGCAAAGTTTTGTGCCCCTGGACTTGAGATCCTGAAGGCTGAGCCTCCTCTGTGAAACGAGGGGATCCAACCCCCCCTGTGCACTGGGACATGGGAGTGCTTCTAAAACTAGAGATGGAATAATGAGATCGTGGCATTAGAACCAGGGTAACAAAGCT